CTTTTTCTCTCTCTCTCTCTGTCTCACTCACTCACTTGCTCTCACTGTCAGTTCCTTGGAAGCAGTTAAATGCAATGTGATAATCTTAGTGGGATTTCAGGGAAACAAGTGCCTTACCCGCAGTATGGTTAATATGGTTGAACAACTGCAGTAACTCAGCAAACGTCTGTCTTGGCTGCAGGAGGAGATGGCCAGCTGCAGGCTACCAAGCCCTTCGCATGGCCAGACTGCCTAATCCTGCACGAGACACACATTTCCCTGCCCTGCATACCTTGCAGGTATTTGTGTGAGTTAGGGGAAAGAACTGACAATATGCCTGATATTTTTGCCTGTCCATTGTCTTCTCCATCCACCTTCTCATGGCAAACATGCCTGGGAGAGATGATAAATTATCTCTGCTCCATCACGACCAGACAACATGGGACTCAGTATTTCCAGTTCTACCCCAGAGATGCCCTTGAGTCTGTCCAGCCGTATCTGAGCTTATGCCATACATTGCGTAAGATCATCTAACCCTTCACTATTAGGTTGATGGTTGGAGAGGGTTTCTGTGTTTCTTTCCTCCTAGATTCCTGGGGCAAAATGATGTTTAGAACAACTCTTTCACACACATCTGAAATTACTTGGGACAACTGATATGTCTTCCAATGATGTTGCATAGGCTTTATCTAAAAGCTTGTATGTGGCTTAATTTGTGATTGACTGAAGCTGACTGTTATTCTGCGGGGTAAACTTTCCTCTCCTGACCTGGCGTATAACTGCAGTGTCAGCTGGAGCCAGCAGGAGAGCTTGAACTTACCTGCAGCTCTGCTCTGATGTTCATGGTACGACGAAGGATGGTTAGGATTAGTTCACCACACCATATCACTACTTCCACGAATTTGGTGGTGTAAAGGGACAGGTCTAGGAAGATGATTATACCTTCACAGGTTTGGTTAACATGCCAAAAAAGACTGGGAGACATTTCCAGCAACTGTGTTATTAGATGAATATTTCTATATTTTCATTCTTTTACAAAGTTGTTTTGGTGAATATACTTCTGAGTGTTTGCATTTGATGAGTAAAGCTTTGGTAGCTTTGTGGTGTGCATGGTTTTCATCCATAGGGAAATGTTTTAAACAAGAAAATTATTTCTCTGACGAAGTTATGTTTATCAGACATAAGAGATTTTCAGAATGTCCTAGAACTTATGCCAAGGTTGTGTTAAGTGTATTTTCTTTTGTGAAAAAATTAATTGGATGTTGCTGGTCTTTTTAAAACTGGATGCAATATCCAGTTACACCGAGTGGGGTTTTTTCTGCCCTAACATGTGGCATGATTTACTATCATTAAATGAACTAATAATGGTTGTGGCTTATATCATCTGATTAAAACAGAATTCTGGAAGTAGAACAGAACACTTTGGGAAATCAGGTGGATTTGTTTGTCTGTGTATAAGATACTGCATTTGCGTTCTAGATTTAAAATACTATTGCAGAGTCCTGTGGACACAGGTCAGCAGCATCTATTATTTTTGATTTCCACGTTGAGTAAAGATGTGCTATACCTTGTTAAATATATCAACAGGTAGAACAGTATTTCCATACTCAAGAACCCAAACGCAGTTGAATGCGGTATTTGATTTTTAAGCAGCCCAGAAATTAACTTTTTGAACTGTATCTTACCTCTTGTTCAGCAAACTAAGTACAGCAATGGATACCTTCAGCTCTTTTCCATCATAACCACAGGTGTGCAATCAAATGCTTGCAATCAGTTGAGGAAGATAACTGTTGAGAAGTGTTTACACTTCTAACATATACATATGTAAGTTTAAAAAGTCTGCTGAGTTGGTTGTTAAAAAATGGCTGAAAAGAGTTTAGCATGTCAAAGTTAGAATGATGGTGAATAACCAGAACTACATGTACTGAAACTTACGTTGCTGTGCTTGTGTGTGTTAAAGCTGTGAGGTATGTGGGGACTGCTAAGATTTTCTTTGGTCATTTTTTTCAGTTGCAATAAAATCGATACCTTAAAGATACAAAATACAAAGATATACAAATTTCAGGGTCAAGCTGGGCCAGCCTGCAGGCAGTGCTGCATGGCTCTAGTCTGAATGGTGTTTGGAGGTAAGTGGGGACATGCTCGGGTGATTTGAAACGCCAGCAGATCAGGCTTGGATCTGCCTGCCATAGGTCTCTATAAGCATATGTTAGGTGTCTGAAAGTGAAATTTCTGTCTTCCACTGCTGTCTGTGTTTCCTGGGTGTTGCAGGTGCAGCACTCGCCGACCGTTTCTGCGGTGCAGTGGGACAGGCTGTGGAAAGCGTCGGCAGCATCTCCAGGTCCTCCCCTCTCTTGCTCAGGGGTCATAAGGCAGGCCAGACCTTGGTGCACCTGTACAAAACTTGCTGAGCACAGACCCTGTCTGCTGGCCTTTCTTCTGATGGATGTTTAGCCTTTTTTTTAATCCTTTGCATTTGTTGAGCATAGGAGCTGGTGCTTTAAATTAACTGTATATTAGGTAATCTGTGTAGTGCTGCCACCGTTTCCATTATAAGCGTTAGATAGTATGGTATGTCTGTTGTAACCTCACGTGAACGAGGGATGGGGGGAGGACTGTGTTGCTGTGTGGAAGGTTTTATTCTGTATAATTCAAGCTAATGGGCTGCATTTGAAGGTGGTAATTCCTGGCCCACGTGGGAGTGGGTACTGCACCCACTCCTGGCTTTTTCCTCAGTTCCTGGAGTGACCTTTTAAGACTTCTGTGATTCCTGAGGTGTAACCATGAATTAGATTATTTTTAACCCTGTTTCAATCTTACTTTGCTTATTTTATGAAGGAAGACCTTAGAAGATGGTTTTACATTCCAATTTTGTTGACAGATTTACATTTACATTGAATTTATATGATTTTATACATGTTTGAGTGAAACACAATGAGGAACTTATGTATTACACTGTTTTCTGTGTGTAAAAGAAAGGAAGAAATGTCCCTTAGCTTTCTTTCTGATGACAACATTAAAGTTACTTAATGTGTGTTGTAAATACACAGCATATGAAGCTTGACATCTCTTACAGGAGGCTTAATTATTTTTAGATTTTCTATAACATGAAGACTAGAATATATGGTGGGGATATACATGAGGAAATTATGTTTTTGATTTAAGAGAAGACACTCCTACTTGTGCTTTTGTAAAAAATATCAATAATAGCATAAAGAAATAAATATTCTCAGCTTTAATGGTTTATAATTTGGAGAAATTTAAGGAACTTATGTGAGAACAAATGGAATGTATGTGAAGAGTGGAGTTGTACAGAGTTTTGAAAACGACAAATTTTAAAAGATATGATACATCAGGTAGACACGAGTGCAATTGAGAGAGATGTCTTTATTTGGCTTTTTTATGAATCTGGAAGTATTGCTATTGTCTGAGAGCACTATACTTTTTTTAAAAATTAGTTACATTATCTAGAGACAAAATATTTTTCATTGTCATGCAGTTGTATAAATTGGAATATATAATTGGAAGACTAAGATTCAAGGTGCTAACACAAAATATATCTAAAAGAGAATTTAATTCTGGATTTTTGATGCACATGTCACACTCACGTTAGCAAAATGGTCTTGTCAGTAGGGACACAAATGGGAAGAATGAAAGGAAGCGGGCACTGGAGTTGCTCTGTCAGTTACGGGCAGAACCCCAGTGACAGACACTGTGCGAAAGGAGATGTAGTAAATATGACAGATGATGAAA